GGATGACTTCATGTCTTTATCTTCAAAACATGAAAGAGCAATTAATATATCAACTTTATTATCATCAAGTTTTATGGAATTTGAGACTGTTAGAGACCACCATAAACCTGTTTGCAAAGCTGATGCATTTGTTTCTATTTGAATATTATTGTTGATTGGAAAAGCTTCTGTGATATTTCCTGTCTTGTAATATTTTAATTCAAATTTATCTATGTAATAAATACATTAATTATTAATTAATTATTAATTATATTAATGAAAATACAATTAATCCTTATCAATTTTGAATTTTTTTACCAGAATTAAAGCTTGCAATGAATTCACCATCATGACTTGTTGCAATGTACTGGGAATCTAGATGGCTGTCAATATAAGGATATTGTTTATTTTTTAAATGTCTTTGTTGTGGCAAACCTCTAGAAGTAGAACTTTGTTGAGAATAAATTGATTCATTTTCTGCTGCATATTTTAAATTTTGAAGGTACAGTTTCGATTTATCTGTCTTGTTTTTAATTAATGACATATCAATCAATTATTTATTTAGTTAGTTAATTAATTAAATCAATTGTATTTATAACAATTAATAATGTATAAAATTCATCATAGCGTTTAGCTAATTTTAATTTTCACCCACATACTAAAAATAACAATAGCCGGTGTTCCTGTAAATTTTATCATTTAAAATAATTAATGATAAATAAACAAACAAATTGTAAGTAGATAGATCTTCATAAAATTAAAAAATAAAAAATGAATTGCACGACCTAATTAACCAATTCTAGGCAAACAGGGTGCAAAGTGCATATTTATTACTTTTTAGCTTTTAAAAAAAAATCCTTTTGCCAACTGATTTCAAAAAAAAAATCTCGTATTCTCTCTTCTCGATAATCAGTAATGAAAAGCGATTAATTTGTTTTGTTTTTTTTTACTTGTTATGAATTTGAGTTTTCGAATTGCATTGAAGAATAACATGAATAACGAATATAATTCGATAATTCGATAATTCGATAATTCGATAATTCGATAATAATAATTCGATAACTCGACAATTCGAATAAAACGAATGATTCGAAAAATACGATGTATTTTTATTTGGATATTAATTTAAAACTTCGCCCATTAAAATAATACATGTTTTCCAAATAGGAGAGGAGTTTTTTTCAATATCATCAATTAATATTAATTCTTTAATAATACTTTTTTTAATTCTCAACGAATCACTTTATTTTGTATGCTCTTTTTAATAATAAAGAGGGCCCGAATGATTCAAAGAATCATAAACAAAAAATTTACAATTAATTTTTTTTTGCAATTAACTTTACAGCAACTATGCCAAACAAATAATCAATTGCAAACACAATTGGCTGCATCTGGAATCTCGTTGATAATAGAAAAATTTTCTGAAAATAATTCTTTTAAACATAATAAATAGACAGATGATCGGAAATTGTGTATATTACTATTAGTCTTATTTATACAATGAATATTTTCACAGTAATGATTTAGGTATTTACCTATCTAAAATTACTAAATATTGGCAGACTTGTCTTGGAAGCCATTATCTTCGATCATAAAACGACCATGGTGGATGAAGCAAATATTTAATCGAAAATTATGTTTCGTTTTAACTATGCATATTGATATTAATATACAATGAATGGTATTAACCAATAGGCTTTTCATCTTGCTTTGACATTTTAAATGACCAAAAAGCTGACAAGCTTGTCTTAGGTGGCTTTATCTTCCGTTTGAAAACATTAATTGTGGACGAAACAAATATTCTTAGATTCTAATAAGTTCAAAAACTGTGAATAGTGATTGTATATGACCACATTTTGAACAGCTAATGTGGTAATCAATAGTAAAATTCATTAAAAAAGAAAAATAATTTGTTAAAGTCAATGTCGATGTAAATACATAATCAGTTATCGATAAACTCCTGTTCTATATTGTGAAGACCTGAAATGAAAAAGGATTATGACATCACCTTTGAAAAGCGATCCAAAGAATCTCTACAACATGGATCAAGAATCTAGAGGAAGAAATCAATAATGAGGACAAAGATTCTTTTTTGAATATATATACACACTAATTAATGATACTTGATGAATTCGCCCGATTATCTGTCTATTTATTATGTTTAAAAGAATTATTTTTCTATTATTAACGGCAGCCAATTGTATTTGCAATTGATTATTTGTATAAAATTCGAATTTCAAACTATATTTAAAATTATCAAATATATATAGAAAAAGAACACCTTCTGGAAACCTATATATGCTTATTTGATATTTCAAATTCAAATTCTCATTTCTTTGATGACTACAAAAAACATCAACTTATCTAGACAGAATAATGAAAAGACTTTTTCATGATCCAGATAAAGGCATTAGTACAATGGCCTGAATTAAGTGAAAAAAACGAGTTAAGAAAATTAACTGCAACCTGACTAACTTCGTAGTTTCTATAATATATAATCGACAAAAAACCAAAAAATCAATTCAGTGGTTTAGTAAATTTATTACTTTCTGAAAGAAATAATGTTTTCAAGTGATTTGATTCGGTTAGATATTTTTATGAAGGATTGTATGATATTGAATGATTAAAAAATGAAAAACAAACCAACTGTAATTTATTTGTGGCAATATTACAAACTGGTATTGTTGTTAATAAAAGAAGTAAATAGTTGATTATTATGTATGGATGATTATAATAATTTCAGACTTTTCATAATTAATATAACAGATTCCTTAGAAATCAATCAAAGAAACCTTATTATTCATCTTCTTGAGAAATGGCTATTAAAGCTAGAAAAACTACCTTTAGATAATTTGAAACATCAACAGTAAAAACTGCCACATTTACTAAAACATGACTCCGTTCCTCATCAAATATTTCTGGAGACGTTCCATTAATTTGCCTACTTTAAAAAAAATGCAATAATTTGATTTAATAAAAATTAACATTATTAATATAAATAAAAGATTCTTCCTAGTCTCTATCAACATTGTTCATAGTTAAAGATAGATATGAAAGTCAAGCAGGCCGTGACGGTTTCTTTTTCAGTTGTTATAATAGCAATAATGATTAATGATTAATGTGATTTTTTTACTTTTGAGTTTTTTTTTTTTTTTTTGAATCTTCAAAAAAAAAACATCAGACCAAAAAATTTTCCAAATAAAAATAAAAAAATTTTTTTGTAATCAATGTCTTTACTTCACCTCAAAAAATAAACTCATCCTTTTTTCACCTATTCTTTTCGAGGATTGCTTAATGAATTATAGAAAGAGATTGGTTGTTGTTCCTTGACCACGCCACGCCCATCCTATGTTAGTTACCCGTCCTTTTTTATATTATTTTGCAGAACACCCGTACCATCATCATCCATATTAATGGGCCAAATTTGAAGAGACGGGGACGAGAAAATGTGGCCTGAACCCGTCCCCTGTCCTTTTCCATATCCCTTAAAGGGGTTTTTATAGTACAAATAGTTCACTTTTTTTAGTTTTGTGCAATATGCCATATTATAAAACTAAGATAAACCATATTGGGAAATTAATAGATATCGTTCCTAAACATTGACTTCTTTGAACCTCATTAATAATGTTGGTATTGTTTGTGTGATGATTCTATTAAAAGTGATCCCATTTGTTGCATTAACATTTCCATCCATTGTTTGATATGAATAATGAAAATTACATCATGACTTTTACGAATTCTAAAAAAGTTGTAGTATTTAAAATGTTATCTGTAGAAAAACAGAAGTTGGTTATTACTCTCCGAATGTCTTTTGATAGTTTGCTGCAAGTGAAATTTTCTTATTTTTTGATGATGATAATTTTTTCTTTTCATCCAAAATTGTTCTAATATATGACAGTGTGAATTAAAGTGTGACCTTTCCCTCGAATTTAATAAAGCCAAGAACCTTTTTAGTTCAAATCTATGATGATACTTTTAAAAAAAAGTACAGTCACATTCAATTCATCAATAAATATAGATCCTTCTTTTAAAAAAAAATTCATAAAGAAATTCTTCTGGGATGCTTTATGAATTATGTAATGTTTTAATTTCAATCACGATCACCTACTTTTCAATCTATTGAGGAAGATAATAAATATCCTGTTGCTTTTAGGTGAGTACTTTTTATTCATTTCATTGCCGCTAGTCCATTCTTGAGTCAATGACACAAAATTTATACCAGTGTTATATTTATTACAAGTTGAACATTTGTCAAAGTATTTGTCTCTACTGTTTTGAACATTTGAACAATTTTTCATTTTTTTATATCTAAATATAGCAAGTAATGTTGGGTCAACAACAGTAGGATCTAGTCAAAAAAGTCGTGTAGTATTGTAAATCATTCATTTAGAAGTTCATTGAAGAAATAAAATAAGATTACACATATCATCATTGACCATTTTATTTTTCGTCCAAAAAAATTACACGAGTAGATTAAAATTATATACAAATATATGTACTTTTAAGTATATATAAAAATGTGTATTGGATGTATATTAGATATATATATATATATATAATTTTAGTTTTCTAAATGTTGCCGTTATCATTATTAATTGTTTGTTGATTAATCGATTAGAAAAAACTTCCCAAAAAATATTCTATATATAAAAAAAAAAAAAAACCCAAAATATCTCACTTCCTTTTAGAGCAATAAACCAATTACGCCAATAGCAGCCATTGCAACAGCCACTACAATATTTCCATTAAATTTATAACCAACATTTGCTTTACTGCTAATAGGAGTTGGAGTTACTACATCTGTGGATGATGATTTTGATGTTGATGATGGTGGTGGTGGTGGTGGTGGTGATGTTGATGTTGGTGCAGCTAAGGCGCTGGTGTTTGATGAAGGAGCAGTAGGGGCATCATCAGCTGGTACTTTCCCAGCGCCAATCACTATAGTACCAAACATACCATCTGCACAATCTGTACCTTGATCACTAAAATAATATAATTTACCAATTCCTGGTTCAGTAATGGTAATTTGAAAAGTTTTCCCAGCTCCATTTAAGATTGGTGAAGGAGTAACTGCATGTTTAGGGGAAAAAAAAAAATTAGAGAAACTCATATGAAGAAAAATGGTATATTAAAATATATAAATATTATTATAACAATTAAAGTTTGAAAACTTACAAGCTGTTGTTGATATAGATTTTTGACAACTTTTTGGTGTATCAGATTGAACAACGGTATGTACACCGCTTACCCATTCCCATAAAACCTAATTGAATAAAATTATAAAAAAAATTAGAATAAGCTTTTGCAAGTACATAAAATTTAAATAATAAAAAGACATACAATATCTTGTAAGTCAACATTAACAGTTGGAGGGTCATAAACAGATTTTCCTTCTGGAGAACCAACTTTAACATTGTAAGTTTCGGAAGAACAAAATGTAGCGGTTAACACGACGATTAAAGTAACAACTATTAATAATTTGGTCATATTTTTCTTTTAAAATATTCTTTATTTTCTTGTTTTAAATAAATAAATTAATAAAATGGATTTATAAATGAATCTTTCTTTGATAGTTTTTCTTTTTTATTTTTTGAAACTATTTATAAAAAAAAATTTTTTTATTTCCACTATGGAATAAATTTATTTATACATTTTTATTACTATTTTCATCATCAGGAATGATATTAATATAAATATAAAAATAAAATGAATTACAATTTTTGATCGCCAGCTCAATTAGCCATACTAAGATGTCTCGATAATATTAGGCCAAGTTTGTTTCTTGAATCTTCACAAAAACAATTTATTCGTTAAACATTTAAAATTTACAATATTTTCTAAAATTGTAACAAACATTCCTCTTATAATCAATCTATCAGCCAAAAATAACAATAATAATAATAGTAATTAGTATTGTGCAACAGCTCACGATTTTATTGCAAATCCTGCCTGGCATGGTAAAAGCTCAAGTGGTTGCCGATGGACCCTTCCTTTCATAAATTTAAATTGTTGAAGATCAAGAGAACGGGAAATTTCAACCTATTATTATTCATATGGATCACAAGCGCCAAGAGTTATTGTAAATTAGTTAAATTAGTGACATCACTGTCCGACACCAGCAACTAATTTAAGACGGGCCGCAAGTACTGATTTTTATTTCTTTTACTAAGTCCCTTTTTATTGGTTATAATTTTTCTTTCTTGTAAATAAATTTCTCTTGGATAACCTTCAATCAGTAATAAGGTTATTAAATGTAATGCTGTATATATTCATGTACATGAAAATTAAATTAGCCAATCAAAAGGAATTTTGCGCCCCTTCATATTTAAAATAGAGAAAGGTGATTCCTCCTCAAACAAAAAAAAAATAATAATAAAATATTATGACCAATCAAATGCTGAAATAGGAATAGTTGTGACTTAAGTAGAAGTGGAGATAGTAAATATGTCCAAGTTGGTGCATATATTATTCAATAGGGGAGATTACTGAAATGAGTAAACTAATGTTAATACTGATTGATGGGGGACTTCTTCTGGAAAACTTTTTTTACTCAAATGTATTTACAAATATTTCCACTGATGATTTCATTAAAGAAGAAGTACTAAGAGATAAACTTGATATATTTCTGAAAAAGAGAAGTTGTTGGTTATCCTAAAGTTGAGAGAGAGATACAAGGATGTGTGACTACTATGCTAATTTTTCATCTGATCCAAAAGGACCATCAGATTTTATACTAGTTGAAGGGTTCATGCTTTACAATTTGAAAATGTTAGGAAGTTCTCTGACTCAAAAGTGTGATTAGATGTTGATAATGATGATTCAAGGCTAGTTGGAAAATTAATAGGAATAAAAAAGTAGATTAGTCATTCATGAATAGAAAGTAAATTGGATTTTGTTATTATGAATAAACCAAAATTTACTTTGCCTGTGCCGACTTAATTATTGGCAATAACTCGAAAATAAATTTTCTATGTTAATTTATATTTTGAAAATGAACAAGAATTTAAAAAATCAATTATGAGAAAACAGTTTACCATCAAAAAACTGGAATAGAAGACCTTATCAACAAAGTAAAGACAAATCTGAAGAGAAAGAAGAGAATAAGCCAAATTCTTACTGAATTTATCGAACATGCTGTTCCAATTATTTTATTGAATAATTAAAACATTCACCATGTTCACATTATATCTACATATAAAACTTGTCACGTGGGGAATCCAATTTCTCCAAAAATATTTATTTACAGATCCCTAATTATCATCTGATGTATACCACTTAAGTGAAGGAGTAAGTTTCAAACTTTCATTCGATGCTATTTTTACAAAAAATACAATTCAAACACGCAGTTTTTCTATTCCTACTGCCAGTTACACGAATCAGTTCTTTTATAGTAAGTGGACATGGTCTACTTTCCTTTAATAATTTTAACAAATAATAATACATTCAATTAATTATAAGAAATGCTTTTCGGTGTTATTTATTTCTTTATTTAAGGGTAAAATATAAGATAGATATATATGAAATGAGTATAAAAGATAATTAAGAAGATAATTAATTGCTAGAAGTGTAGGATCACGAAAGACCAAGATTAAGACGAAGAACTTTCAAAGAGAGAGCTATTTGAATAGTTTTGATGTACTCTATGCTCAGAATGAGACTTGTTGAGTTATCTTTCTTTGATTAATAAATTTAAGTTTCTATTTAGAGGGGTTGGTTCTAAAACTCTATCTTAATTTCTAGTTAAAGGGATTTTTCTTAAGGCACAGGTCGAAATCTCTTATTATTATTATATACAAGTTGTTCATTCATATGATCAATTATTTGATTATCCGGTTAATAATAACGAATAGTAAATAAAAAAAATAATAAAATAAACAAAACTTTCTTCAACTGTAGGAAATCGAGTGCCAGGAACTTTGGAAAGTTTGTCATCAAGCTATTAGTATAATTTAAAATTATAATTAATTTAGAATCATAACATTTATCATTATTATTTATCATTATCATTATCGTTATATATAATATGATGATAATTTACTTCTTCTGTTTGAATTCTTTCTTCGACTGTAGGAAATCGAATGCCAGGAACTTTGGGAAGTTTTTCTTCAGGCTATTAGTATAATTTAAAAATTATAATTAATTACAATAATTGACATTTATCGTTATCATTATCATACGATGGTAATTTACTTCTTCTGCTTGAACTCTATTCGATCCTTTCAAAGCCTCATTTTCATTTTCATCTTCATCTGTTATTTTTCCGTTTAACGACTCTTCAATTTCCTGAAAATCATCAATATTGTATTAATTAATCCCATTTATATAAACAATCTCTTTCATTCATTCAAGTACAAACAAACATATATTAACGTAAATACCTTTTGATATGATATAGCATCTGCAGTTTCTTCCATTAATTTTTCTACTTTTTCAATTGAAATTCCTTTATTAATTTCTTTTAGGACTAATGCAAATTCTATAGATTGTGTCTTTCAATTGTATAATTATATAATTATATAAGATTTAATTCCGATGTTTTAATTCAACTCGTGAATAATAATAATTTATCAATTAAATGCTTATATCATAAATACAAACCAATACTTCCAAATGAAATAATTTTGCATCAGTTTTCTTTAATAATAGTTGTTGATATTTTCTCTTTCTTAAAGCTAATAAAGCTGCTTGTTTATTTCCTTGACTTAATGCTGTCTTTGCTATTTCAGTTTCCTTATCTGCAACTAATTTAATCTAATCGACAATAAATAGTTTATATTGAAAACTAATCAATTATACAAAAAGGATATATAATTATAATTACACTTTTTGATTAATCATTGTTATCGTTTACCTTCTTCTGATATTTTTTTAATATGTCTTGTCGAACTTTTAAATCAAGAATAGCATGGTCTTGCACCGTTATCTTGCTACTTTTGTTACCCATATTATAACTATTTATGCGTCAACTCAAATTTCATGAATTTGGAAAATATCATGTTAGTGTAACGCCCAAGTTAAAAAATAGAATTTGCCGGTTGAAAACCGGTTTTAATAATAATAATATAGAAGAAACGTTTCTATTGAAAAACCTCCATTATATATATTTAGTTAATTATTTGTAATAATATCCATTTGCTAATCTATTTACAATACAATGGATTCTGAAAAATCAAATGCGTCCAAGTTACCACTTTCTATTAGATTAATAAACTTCAATTATCTGTCTTAATTAAATTTTGCAAATCCTCTCTTGCATTCAACAATTGAAAAAGGAATCCATTAAAAATATTTAAAAGTTTTATATTGGGGTAAATTGAGAATGATTATGCAAAGAAAATTCTCTGCAGATAAATAGATTGCTAAAATTATTGCCATTCCTCGTTGATACGGATCTTTGGATATTGATTATCTGCCGTAATTCTCCTTTACCAAAGCCATCACGCTGACATTTAGTGGCCATTCTGATATATTGAAAATTCCGTAACATTCAACGGATGACAATTTGAAAATGATTCTCAAGCTCTAAATCAACTGAATTTCATGAATACCACCATCATAAAAAATTCCAGAACATGGTGATGTTTAAACTAAACTGATTTCCATATCTTAATTCAAAACCAATCTTGAAATACTTTCATCGTCAATTATAAATTATATAATAATTTTTAAAATTAATGTAATTATGCATGCCTACAAAATTCTATCTCTACTACCTCTTCATCAGGAACAGAATCAACCTTGAAAATTTATAATAATATCAGGGGACACAAAAACTTCACATACGCTAACTTTTGTTTATATATTTACTATATATTAATATATATATTAAAAATTCGAGCCTTTAAACTACTTGTACTACATGACTCATAGGAACCATGTAACTAATTTGATATATTTTATTTAAAAATATCACGGCAGCACATGTATATGATTTTAGAAAATTCAACATCAAACTTTTGCAGCGTAACTACTACTTTTTACTATTATTTTTTTACTTATTAATTCATAAAGTTCGAAAATAGAAACAACTCAAAATAAATTCAGACGTTATCATAAGTGAGGTTAGAACAAAGTAAGAGATTTTAATTTAAAATTTTGGCTCATGAGGACTTTGGCAGAAGGCGATTATACAAAAACTTTGGCATTATCAGGACTATATGTGGTTGACCATAGAAACTGGGGTGATTTCCCACTTGTAGTATGTCCAAGTTGCTTCAGTTGAAAAAATAACCAATAATCGGTCTTCCGGAGATCTTTAAATAAAATCAAACATTGTAGGAGATAGAAGAAGGTAGGAAATTTTTATATCACAATTTAATTTAAAATTTTGATTCATGAAGACATTGGATAATTGTTTCAATTATAAATATCTGAGGAGTTCTTAACTAATGCAATATTTAATTTATGTTGATAATAGATGGCATAAATAGTGTTAATCAACACTGAGAATGTAGAGAGAAAAAGGTGTGGTAATATACGCAAATATTCTCTCGGAAAATTCAAAAAGTAAAGTAATTAACTAACAATTATAATATTAATGATTTCTTAGAAATGAGAGCAACCAAAATAAAAAGAGATCATGATTTTAAAGTGGGCAGAGAAGAGGAACCCAAGTTGAACCAATAGAAAAGTTATTTAATGAATTCTATATGTCCTCGGCTATTTTGATTCGCATTATTAATAATTTTAAAATGTGTTCGGAAAATCGATTCGCATAATTATAAAAAACTAAGATTCGCATTAATGTTAATATGATTTGTCATTTAATTGGCGGTCACATACAATAGAGTTTTCCTAGTCCATATTGTTTTTTTAAAATTATCACTTAAACGGTTAGAATATTCTTTAAAAATAATAATTTTGCATTCTTATTTGTCAATTTAACGATCAAAGGGATAATATCGACGAAAAATGTTCTCGATGCGTATATATATACAATCACTTAATCACATGTAATATGCGTGTATTAGTATGTTTATTTATGCGATTAACCAAATTCGACTAATTAGTTTATGTACATTTTCTTTGTAAAGGAATTTTTGGCATAAATGATAATCATTTTATATATACTAATACTGGATGATCTAATCGTCTGACATTTGTCAAAAAAAAATTTTTTTTCTCACAATTTAATGCCCAATGAATTTTTAGTTACTACCATCTGCTAATGGAATATTATCACAAGGGGCTAAATATGCTAGATAAGGCAAAAATTCTGGACAGTGTCAAGAAAACTCTTTGGGATGTGGCAAATGTTAACTCTGGATTCGACTTGGAGCGTAAAATAAAAGCCCAAGAACTCATTGATAATTGGAAGATAAGCTAATGGTCACTGTGATATTTTAGTCTGCAGTAAGGAATAAGAGTAGCTGGAACTTTTAGTTCACGGCGGTAACCTTGACTCTTAGTTTAAGTGTGGGGGCTCTTAGCTCGAAACTCTTTTTATTTCCTTTGGGAGGCTGGACTCTTAGTTCAGTGGTAACCTTGACTCTTAGTTTAAGTGTGGTAGGCTTCTAGCTCGAAACTCCCTTTATGTTGTTGACTTTTCATTAAAAATGATTTACTAATGCATATTCTGCTCTGCAAGGAAATGGGTTGCTCCAATGAAAAAATTATATAGGCACAAAAAGATAGAGGTTGTGCGGGTTAAACAACAGCTAAATGCAATTAAAAACTCTTCCGATCAAGTTGATGTATTTCAGAAACAGTTTGTCGACGATAGTAGAAAACGTTCTCATGATAATGACGAACAAATGGATAAAGAAGCATTTGTGAAAAAGACGAGAATTAAAAATACAAGTTCTGATGAAAACCTTGCATACGGCAAGAGTTAATTTTTGGTATTATAAAATTGGCATGTAATTAACAATTTTCCTTATTGGCTTCGTCAATTAGTACATAATCAAATATCAACATCCATGCCTTCATATGATGATGATTCAGTTGAAAAAATGAATACGGAGAAGCTCATCGAGTCTTTACAAAAACAAAAATTGTTTTGAGCCCCAATCATTTTGAGATTTTGCGCGACCGAGAGATTATTGGTCACGACTTCCTCAAGATGAATAAACAAGATTTTAGAGATTGCTGGGGTCTGGGTCACTTTACCGACAACACGCGGGGTTACATTTAATATACACAACTAATAAAATGCTAACGTGTCTTGTCAGTAAAGTGTCTGGGTCCCATTTGCGGGTTAGAAATGGGTCCAGCGATACGACTTGCAGATCTCGCTAAGGAATTCAACGACAAAAGTAAGTATTTATAATATTATATCTATGGCTTTATTTTATCTAGTTTGATAATTTACAATAACTTGTGCATTCTGCCTATATAGACAAAGACCCAAATAAAGAATTTAAAAAGTCTACAATAGGAGCTCATCCAATCGTTGCCGAATCGGATATGAATAAATTTCACACACAATTCATTAAAGATCTCTATGAACTTCTCAATGATAATCTTAATATAAGACAATTTCAAAATATCAAGGGGGATGTAGAAAAGATTGACAATGTAGTGAAAAGAGCAAAGAAATGATATCGAAGGAAGTGAGATCAAATTATGCCAACTTAATATTTGCCGTTTATAAACAAAAAAAAATTTAAAATGTAGCTAATCAACAATCTTGTTTTTTTGTATTGCAAGAAATAAATATCGCTTACATAACAATCGTTTTTTTTTTTTAATACGTTCTACTAAACAAAAAATCCGAGTTATGGTTTCTTTCCGGAATCTATCGAGTTTATTTTTGTTGGCTTTATAATGAAGAAAAATCCAAGGAAAGCCCAGTCAACAACCCATGACAAAATTCACTTGTAGTTAAATTAATAATAAAAGCTATGTTTCACTTTGATTTTATTTTCATGTTGAAAATGAGTGAATTGTGATGCTTTCTTTACATTCATCAAATACAGGATTACACACAGCCAATCAAACTCTAAACTCGAAAAAACAAATATATAATAATTGATTTGTCGTTTCTATTGCAATTTAAGAAAAAAAACCACAATCTTGAACGTGTAATACTTGTGAAATTCTGTTTTGTTCGAGCAGTATTTTCTTTATCAGTCAGACGACATTTCACGCGATCGACATGTCTACTGTAATAACTATGTAGAAATGTCAATTTTTACTATTAAAATATTAAAATCGAAGGAACTTTTTCATTTGTCACCTAGCACGCCCACATGAAGTTTTAACCAGGAACGTGATATTTTGTACACGCATTCCTTGAGACTTATTTTATTTCCTTGCAAAATTTTAGCTATGGTTTACTAAAAAAACGGAAAAGAATTACTCGTTGAAAGTTACGCCTTCAATTCTTAATCATGTTACAACAAATTATTTTGAACTTGTAATTTCAATAAAACATAAACAAGAAGCCACCATTTGGTTTTTAGAAATAATATTACATTGGGTTGG